CTGTGTACAGTATTAAATTAGTTTAAACTTAATACTGTGTGTGTGTGTGTGTGTGTGTGTGTATATATATATATATAAAGACTATATATATAGTCTTTTATCTGGTGAAAAAAATTCCCTGGAACCTAACCCCCCATATTTACATTAATTCTTATGGGGAAAATGGATTCGCTTAACATCGTTTCACTTAAGGTAGCATTTTTCAGGATCATACGTACAATGTTAAGCGAGGAGTTACTGTACTAAAAATATCCATGACTAAAACGTAGCCTTAATCATTGCACCCCGAAAGGAGCTTTCACAGACTTGGGTAAGTACAGGATGGACAATTGCATGATGTGGGACCTCTTCCTATGCTATGTATATCCACCCAGATTTACTAGTTTTGAGTCCCCTTTTCCGATGGAAGCAGAGGGGACAATGTGTCCCACTGACATGAGTGGGAGCCCGGCACATGGAATAAATGTACAACGAGCTACAAAGTGTATTCTTTAGTTCATATTAAGGGCCACATGCTAGCAAAGTTCCATGAAAATTTGAAATAATATTTAGTGTAGAGTTGCTGCATACATGACATTGCACTTCAGCCTGGATTTGGATGGTACAGGTAATTATTAAATAGTTGGAACTGAAACACCAGTATCTCATTGAACAAATAGATAATATTAAAGGGGTTTCATTTCTTTGCACATTCGCTGTTGGGGTTGCATTTCATTACACAAATATTGAATGTGTAAATGCAACCCCAATTGGGGTTTGAATGCAGAATCCTCTAAATGCAATGCAGGCACTTTATCCACTAGGCTACAATAATTGTCCTATAGGAAAAACGGGCAGTTCTACTGTTAAACCAGCCAGAGAAATGGGGGTGGGGAGAATTTTGAGATGGAGAGGTTGAAGCCAAAATGTCCAGACTTGTTGTTAGTTATATAACTGGAATATTATAAAGGCACAATCCTTAAGAGTGTCTGAAGTTTGTTTGTGCTTAAAAAATCATGTTTTGCATTTAGGATGATTATGCAATCTGGGATGAGACCAATTTTTGCTCTGCCATCTGCTCATTTTGCCACACACTTTCATTGTTAAAAAAAAAAAAAAAACACAACTCCTCTCCCCCCCAAAAAAACACCACCTCCAAAAACAAAAAAGAGAGAACAAAGTTAATTTTTAATGAAAAACTGTTCAATCACAAGTTGTTTTTATGAACTGTGCAAAAAAAAGATTATGCTATTGGATGAGGTACAAATGTAAGTGTTTCTGTTAAAGAGGGATTGAATAGAGGTTCTCTGATGGCACTTCCAAAAAGGGTGCCAATTTTGGTGGTGGCTCTTGTGATTTAGACACTTCTACATAAGGAACCAGATGAAGACCCACCAAACAGCCATTAGCTGATAACTTTTAGCCACTACTAAACTGGCCTGCATTTGAACTGACACCCAAGAGGGCAGAGGGGTGTGTGTTTTCTACATCAGGAAAAATATTTGTTCAGCCCTGGATCCAAAGCTCAAACTGCAGTTAGGTATCTCATTACAGAACTTCTGTTCACAAAGTTGAATAACTGAGAGGTATATAGTGTGAGTTGTGCATTACCCACTTCTCTGATCAGATGGATGGTAAACTTGAGCCTTACAGAAAACATTTAATTATTAATTTAAAAAAAACTGTGTTAGTCTAAATGATGAGACTGGAAAGTGATCTAAATAGAACAGGCAGCGGGGGGTGGAATATAATTGCAGTTTGTTTTCATTAATTAAGGATGACCGTGCATACTTGTCTCATGGTTCCACTTCACTTCATCAATCGTGTGCTCCTCTCTAATTTGTGAAAGTACATAGGTTATTTTCCCAACTCCACGCTGTGTCTATCTTCTCTCTCCTAGACATATGTTACATATTTTCAGATTATCTATGTTTTCTCTTGTTAATTGCTTTAAATAGTGCATAAAAATAATAACGATGTCACTGCTAGAGGCAAGATATTTGTGTTGGTGAACAAGTGTGTATATCCCAAATATCATCTATGAATTTCAGTGGAATCTCGATACCTAACTCCATTAGTCTCCTTTGAAAGTCCTAGCATAAGGCCCTAGGTTCTGAGTCTCAGGGCTAGTCTACACTACCCGCCCGGATCTGTGGGTAGAAATCTATCTCTCGGAGATCGATTTATCGTGTCTCATCTAGACGGATAAATCGATCCCTGAATCGACGCGCGTACTCCCACCTCGTCAGGAGGAGTAAGCGCTGTCGACGGGGGACCCGCAGCAGTCCATTTGCCACCATCCTCACAGCGGGGTAAGTCGAAAAGGATATGTTGAATTCAGCTACGCTATTCGCGTAGCTGAATTTGCGTATCTTAAGTCGATTCCCCCCCCTAGTGTAGACCTAGCCTCAGGGGATGAGGCCTAGGCGCCTGCAAAGCATTCCACACTTCCACCTTATTCAAGCAAATCTCCCATTGACTTCAGAGCCAGGGAGTGCTGAAGAGGGCCCTTATTTTTCAGCAGTTATTAAAGCTTACTTGTGAAGTAGTATGTGGTATGCCGGTGTATGTTTCAGGAATAAAACTGTGGACTAGAACAATAGGAATACCTAAAGCAAAGCAGGAGAAAGGTATTAATGTAAAGCATTAATTTTCCTTTTCTCCCCTTTAGGATCTTAGCTCATTTGCCATGCCATTCCTGGATGGAGATGTGGAGAGCTCAGACAAAAGTGCTTCTCGAAAGGTAGGATGTTTCAAAGGTTTCATCCTCCTTGTAATTTCATAGTGCTTGTGGTAGTATAAACGCGTTTTATTTTACTTAGGTTTGCAGAGGCTGGGAGTCTTGGGCCCAGATTATCCCTTGCTGTAAGTCCCCAGTGTCCATGAAATTAGACCAGGGATAAAGGGAGCCACTGCTGGGTTGCTCTGCATCACTGTTGTACTAATGTGATACTTCCTTTGAAGAAAAAAAACCAGTCCCTACTACAGCACTGTTGCTATAAACACTGCAAATTAAATTTAACTTAATGCAGTAACACTGCTCACTGAATTACAACAGTTATCCCTAGGAATATGGTTAGCTACTGTGATTCACTGAGAGGCGTTGCTGTGTGGTGTTGTACAGTAAACAAACAGATATCTGTGGGTGTCAGTCTGTTCCCTATGAATAGCTTCCTGACCTCTGGCCAATGAGTCCTTTTAACTCGTTATGGTCTTTTTGATCAGTTTATTCCCAGTATTGGCAAAATAAGCTGTAAAATTTAACGGGAGCCAAGGAAGTAGGAGCTTCCTACTTAATAGCTCAGGCATTCTCCCTTAATCCCCCTGGAGGTATCTTATCGGAATCCACTCCCTTGCCTTCCTGCTTGTTTTTTCAGAAGCCTCCTGTTAAACTAAACCAAGCATATTAATTTGGCAAACATCCCTTGCCAACAGTCAGACAAATACATAAAAAGATAGTATTCAAAACTTGTTATAGAGCAGCTCCACGTCCTTTAGAGTGGCACCAGTTGTGATGGGGTCTCCTGGCTCTCAAAGTCCTGGCAGTAGGTCCGGTGTGTGTGTGTGTGTGTGGCCCTGCTATCTAGTCTGGAGAATGAAGAGTAGACCTCCCCGAAAAAGTGCCAATTCAGCCTATAGCTGCAAAACGGCCTATTCTGATTCACAATAACACTTCAGCAAAGAATATTAACTCTATGGTTAAATGAGACCTCTTGTAGTCTATCACAGTGTCTGTATTTTGTGGCTCAAGGCAGGGGAAATGACAAATATTGTCCTAGTGACATTAATATGTATCCAGAAGTGACACTTAAATAAATTGGCTTTTGTCAGCAATTTTTTCCTCTATTATTTTGCACCTCAGGGTAAAGGATAATCATGTTAGAAGCTGGTCCATTCCATCAGCAGTTCAGCATCCTAATGTCACTGGCCTTGTTCTTTTCGGTGTTGGAACTTCTAAGACTGTGATGCAGGAGTGAGAGATGGATGGAAGGGAACCCATGTAGACACTAGATGGGGAAAAAATGTACAAAGTCACTGAAAGAGAGATATATTTGGTGGATTAGCATACATTGAATAGTGTGATATCTTTGCGCTGAATTTTTATGATGGTGAAAGACAGTAATTTCTGGCTAAAAACTGCTTTCTCCATCTAGAGTCTCCTATTTTCTCTTGATGATGGGAAAACTATATGAGGGTCAATCCTGAAAAAAATGTACCGGATTTTCTCTTGTGGTCTTACTCATTCCCAAGGCTGGGTGATGCCTCTTTGAAGTCCTCCTTTGACATTTTGGAGGTGCCTGAATTTTTCCTACCAGTTTTGTGATGTCATTCTGGCCAGTGACCTTCTTGAGAAGATCTGGAACAACGTTTCCCAGCAGCCATGTCTTCTTTCTGCAGCTCCAGTAAAGATATTTTATAAACACTTGGGCCCAGCTCTGCTCTGCTGTCACTCAGCCTGCAGAACTGCCATTGACTTCAAATTCTATGCTTGGAACAGCTGTAGGATTGGGCCTCAAAGAGGTATGAAATTGCTTTTATAAACTGGATGATTTTTTGATTGAAATCTAGCACCTTCAGTGCTTCCTAATATTAGACTTCAAGCTGTGTTCAACCTGTGCTCCATAATGGAATGAGATCAACTGACTATGCCCAGTCTCCGATGGGAAATAAACCATATGTTAAAATCCATTAAATGCATCTCATCCTACCCATTACCATGCACTTCATGAGCAGATCTCTCCCATAACTGAATTAGTCCTAGCATCAGTCAGTAGTATGTGATATAATTCTAAATAAAAATGTAAATCAGCCTTTGCTGAAGATAAGCAAACAAACAATTCAAATTAGTATTTACTTCAGGTAAAGTGGTTCTCCCTTGTCCAAGGTTGAAGTCACAGTCTGATCCATCTGACTTGCACATGCAAAAAGAGGTGACTCCTTTATATATAGTGTCTGCATTTCCCATGTCCCAGTCATTTTGGAGACTTGCGGTAAATCAGAGATGTCTATCTTTTCATACTTAAATCCCTTTGCAGTCTAGGTTGTAGAGTGAGTTAAAGGTGAGTAATCCACACGATCTCACTATCATCTGCTTTTAAAGTTTTTCATTGAATTTGACTGTTCTTCTTTGTGAAGGGGTGCAAAGGCACTTTTAGAAAACGTATTTGTAAGTGTTCCCTGTAGTGCTCATCACTATAATATCTGAGCAACTCACAATCATTAATGAATGCATCATCCTAACATCCCTTTCAGGCAGGGAAGTATTATCCTTATTGTACAAATAGTGAACTGAAGGACTGAAAATGCTTTGCCCAAGATCACACAAGAAGTCTGTGGCAGAGCTAGGAATAGAACGCAGATATCCTGAGTCCCTTCCGGTGCCGTAATTGCTTAAACTTAATAATAATAATAATAAGCTATAAGCATCCTTCCTCTCCTCACTGTCTGGTGCCGTATGAACAAGGAGTTAATCTCAGCTCAGCTTTCTCCTTCACTGCTCAGGGCAGGGACTACAGTTTGACTGCTTGGAAATCCTTCTCATGTAAGCTTCTGGTGTGACATGCTACCGAAGCAGCACTTGTTGATAAGGTGAATGTTCTCCCTCGTCTATAGATAGGGGAAAGTACATCAGTATTCATGCTGTTAGACCCTTATGGAGAACTTCGTACTGTTGATCTCCAAATACGCCTATCCAGGAGTTCCCTGAAATAATGTAAGTCCTCCTTTCTGATGCAACTCAGGAGCATCGATAAGACAATTAGTTTCCCCCCCACCTCCAGAGATCTTATGTATGGAGTCCCACAAAGCTCAGTCCTGATGTATTCAACATATATATGAAATAGCTGGGGAGACTGAGAGACAACATGGACTGAAGCCTCAGCAGTATACTCTGATATATAGAATCATAGAATTGTGGGACTGGAAGGGACCTTGAGAGGTCATCTAGTCCAGTCCCCTGCACCTAGATCATGCCTAACGGGTGTCTGGAGATTTTAAAGAGCAAGTTAGACAATTTATTCCAGTACTTAGCTACCCTGACAGTTAGGAAATTTTTCCTAATGTCCAACCTATACCGCCTTTGCTGCAATTTAAGCCCATTGCTTCTTGTCCTTGTCCTATCCTCAGAGATTAACAAGAACAATTTACCTCCCTTCTCCTAATAACAACCTTCCTCTGTCCTGAGCCCTGTGGTGTCCCCTCCAGCTCTGTGGAGATGAGGTACAGGAGCAGGGTGAGGGGGACACCCTGACATTAGCACCCCTCCTCCCCCTCTTGCACAGCAAGCAGGAGGCTCCCGGGAGCAGCTCCAAGGCAGAGGGCAGGAGCAGCACATGGCAGTGGGGGAGGGACAGCTGAACTGCCCGGCAATTGCTAGCCTGCTGGGCAGGTGCTGTACAGGGAACTTAGGGGAGCGGAGAGCTGATAGGGGAGCTGCCGACCCACCCTGCTTCCAAGCCCCCACCAGGTAGCTCCAACGGGCTGCTCTTTCTGCAAGCAGTGGACAAAGCAGGCAGATGCCAAACAACATTATCAGGGAGCATTGCGCAACTTTAAACGAGCATGTTCTCTAATTGATCAGCAACGTAACAAGAAACAACGTTAACTAGGACGAGTTTAAGTGAGGAGTTACTGTATAAAACTACAGTCCAGGCCCTGAGGAGTTTATAATCAAAGATGACAAGCAACCTATGGAGGGTGTAGGGAGAGAAATACAATCAGATTTACACAATTGTTATACATATATATTCATTTTTACATGAATATAAACACTCAGCTATCTCTGACTCCGCCATAACCTATCTTTTCATTTAGGCTTCATGGAAGAAGTGGGTCTTGCTGGGAGGTCCTATAGTTTTGACAGAAGAGAACTATTTATATTAATTCTAAGTGTAGCACTATGTAATGGACTTGACCATTTCCTTTCTACAGAAAAGAAGGATGATCTTATGGTTAAGGAACTTGACTGGGACTTCCCAGCTCTGTCACAGACTCCTTGTGTGTCCTTGAGAAAGTCACTTTCTCTATGTGCATGAGTTCCGTCCCCCCCATCTATATAATGAGAATACTTCCTTTAGTTAGACTGTAAGCCAGTGGTGCCCAAACTTTTCCTGTCGCTCCCCCCCCTTACCAGTAATGGAATGTTTCCATGCCCCCCTGGCCTGAGAGCGGAGTCATGGCTGGGCCGTGGCTGGGTCCAGGAGCAGAGCTGCAGCCGGGAGCCAAGAGTGGGGCCTGGCGGCCGAGAGCGGGGCCGAGGGCCAGTAGTAGGGGCCGGAGCGGAACTGGGGGCAGAGCAGGGCTAGGTGGCACTCCCTCCCTGGCCCCCTGCCCTGTGGGGCTGGCCCAGACCCCACTGGAAATTCTTCTGAGATCTCTAGGGGGGGGTGCCCCACAGTTTGGGGACCACTGCTGTAAGCCCCCTGGGGCAAAGACCATTTTTGTTATCTGTTTGTATAGCACGAAGGGCTTGAGCTTTGATCCTGCAGGGACTACCACAATATAAATAAAAACTGTACTTGGTATACTACGTAAACATCTTCAAAGTAGTAACATTTTTTAAAGCTATTGCTAATTTTACAGAAATATTACAATGCAATTCATATGACTAAGCTGACTGAAATTACTGTCACATAGCTTTTTGCTCACAAATATATCTTCCGAAACAGACAATTAACATGGGAAGCTGATATTCACAGCATATCCGGAGAATACTGCAAATTTAAATTTGGTTATGGCCAAAGA